CGACACACCCCGCGCGGCGGCAAACGCACGTGCTTCCTTGTTGGTTGTTGTTGTTGTTGTTGTTGTTGCTGTTGTTGTTGTTGTTGCTGCTGCTGCTGCTGCTGTTGTTGTTGTTGTTGTTGCTGTCGTCGTCGTCGTCGTCGTCGTCGTCGTCGTTGTGGTCGTGGTCGTGGAATCTGAATGGCCTTATATCGTATCTGACGGGCGGTGTGTACAAGGGTTTTGCTGAGTGTTTATTGGGTGTGTATGTCGGTTTCTTTCTGGGGATACCGGAGACCGGATAGCGATAGTGAAGCGACGACTGGCATCAGCACCGAAATACGTTCCAACTAATTAAACTGTAGGGAGCGTGTACAATCTAAAGCAGCCCTACCCCTTGCCTGAAATTAACTTAGAAGCCGTCATGAACAGGCGACTCACAGGACCAGCGTCTCAAAGGATCAGCCTCGGTTCGGAAACACATGTCCCATTTTAAGGGCCAAGTGGGATTAACACAAGAATCCGAATAACTTAAAGAAAGGGGTACATACGGCTGTTGGACAGAGCCCTGCACTATCCCAACTCCCTTAGTTTGGGACGCGTAACCGCCTTAAGAGTCCTGGTGGAGCGTTGCAAATAGGTTTTGAGAACCCTGTTGAGGCCGCAAAGAAGCCTCGATGTTGGCCACCAGAGTAGCTGAGGGCTTAAGAGGAGGGTTCTGACCAGTTGGTTTGAGCTGAATAAGGAGTGTTGGCAATCGTTACAATCGTTGGGCTTGGCTTGTCTAACGGTCCCGGCTGGTTGGCTTTATGCCTAGGCCTAGGGAGGGTTTAGGCCTGGCAGGGTGTACCAAAGTGTCTCGGATGACGTACGCAACAGTGATCATAGTCATAGTTCTGGCAGCAAATAGTACTTTACGTCTTACATGCTACGCTTACCGGAACTCTTCACCCCATACCTTAAGCCTTTGCTCTGCGGCTCCCCCTACTTAGACATAGGGTGGGTAACCGTCAACATAGTATAATCCCACTGCGCAACTTTTCCCTAAACCCCAAACCTTAAATCCTAAACCCGAAATCCCTAAACCTAAAACCCTAAACCCCTAACCCCTAAACCCTAAACCCTAAAGCCTTGACCTTGAGTTCCCAACGAATGCTGGGGAAGTAAGGTATATGTTCCCGTGTGCAGGAGCCGGCGCGTCCCCGGCTTTTCAGTTCCAATCGCTAAACCCCATCCTTCAACCATGAACGGTTTAGGGATTAGGGTTTAGGGATTAGGGTTTAGGGTTCAGGGGTTAGGGACTGGGGATTCGGGTTTAGGGTTCAGGGTTTAGGGTTTAGGGATTAGGGTTTAGGGTTTAGGGATTAGGGTTTAGGGTTTAGTGTGGCATCGCCCTGAGGCCATTCCGATGGGAGATTTGATTTTGGGTGCAGATCCCAGCCTGACTCGGGCTTCGGACATGGTATCAGACGTCAGGGGGTCCGCCACAACCCGTCCAGGCAACTTTTTCGGGGTTTTGTTTATCTTACCAGTCCAGTAGATAGTTTGGTGTTAGCACAGAGAGTAATCGCGAGCTCTATACTTAATCTGAAGTTTTCAGCCCAAGCTGTAACGGTTTGGAGCCAGTTCCAACACGTACCGGTAGACAACATTGAAGTTGTTTGAAGTAGGGTGTGCTTTGCAGGGTTTTGGTGTTTGTATATGAGAGCGTCAGTACTCTGACGTGAGGGGTTTTGTGCTGGGGCCCTTGTGACAAAGGCCCTACTTCGGGCATTGCGTAGGCTTTGAAGGTCAAAAAGATACCTGGTTCTTCAACTGATTGTTTCGGTAGGAAGTCACCCTAAACCCTAAACCCGCAACCCAAGTCCTAAGCCCGATAAGCCCTAAACCCTACATCCGAAAAAGGCCTCCCCAAAGCGAAGTCCTATCCCGAAACATCCCGTAATCTTAGGCACAAGGCTGAGCCCAAATGCTGACTGAAACCCTATTCGCGTGTAGGGTTTAGTGTTTGGGGCTTTATAATAAACATGCATGCGTGCATGCACGCATGTATACTGTTCCGCGGCGTGCGGCTTCAGGGCTCCGGAGCAACTGGTGGCTACGGCTTAGGGTTGGTTTAAGGTTTCCGTCGAGGGTTCAATGACAGGTTCTATAGGAGGTTCTATCGGGGTTCCAGAAAGGGTTGAGGGCTCTTCGATTCTGACAGCGGTTCAGGGTTCTGCGCATTCGCGGGTTCGCTTCGGCAGCGCCCGATCCCTTCAAAAGGAACCCTCTTCTATTTATCCGGACCCCCACTTACCCTAAACCCTAAACCCTGAACCCTTAAGCCCTAAACCCTAAACCGAGGTACGAAGACCTCCAATGGCTTTGGTCGCTTGGTGCTCCTGGTGCGGATGTTGAGGATGCGGCCCATAGAGCTGTTATCTGGGTAGTTCTCTAAATTAGGATCCTTCTGGGGTCCTTAGTATACTGGTGCCTTAGAATTTTGGGGGACCAAAGGGGCCCCAATTTAAAGAGAGCTACCCAAAGGCCACTAAGAACCCCTTTAGGACTTCAACACCACAAACCTAAACGTGCCCCAACAAGCAGGTCTCATTTCTCTCAAGTCAGGGCTGGTGTTTAGGTTGTAGGGTCGAAGGCTCAGGGTCTTGGGTTTAGGGTTTTTATTCGAAGGTTCGAAGTGCGGGCCCCCAATATGGACCTTGAGGCCTTTCTAGGGACCCTTAAGGGTACAGAAAGGGTAAACCCTAAACCCTAAACCCTAAACCGGGTAAAGAGTAGGTATATAAGGATCCCGGCCTTAAGGGCCGATACTAGGGGGCGCATGGGTTCAACCGTAGATAAGTATCATCAACCGTAGGGGCCCCTAATGTGGACCCTTAGGCCTTTTGGGAGATTGAAGGGACCGTTAGGGGTTAGAACCACTTCGAATCCCACTGGGTGTACTTCTGACCTTGCTTGTTAAGTCCTAAACCCTCAACGCTGAATCCTCAACCCCTAAACCCTAAACCCTTCAACCCTCAACCCGAATCCTTACACCCTCAACCCTAAACCCCTAAACCCTAAACCCTTACACACTCAACCCTAAGCCCTAAACCCTAAACCCTTAAACACTCAGCCTGGAACCCTAAACCCTCAACCCGAAACTCTAACCCTGACCCTCTAGCCGGCGCGCTCATGACTGCCTGGGGCTTTCCGAACAGAAAACCCTAAGCCCTAAACCCTAAACCCTAAACCCTAAAAAGGTTTGAGGGACAAAGGTTTTGAGGAATCCCTCTGGGCTGTGCCGAAGGGTCTTTAGGGTATAGGCGGTTTAGGGTTTAGGGTTTAGGGTTTAGGGTTTAGGGTTTAGGGTTTAGGGTTTAGGGTTTAGGGTTTAGGGGCTTTAGGGTTAGGGTTTAGGGCTTGAGGGCTTTAGGCCTTAGGGTTTACGGCTTCAAGCCTAAGAAACCTACCTTGTTAAGGTTCCTAATCTGATTTCCTCATCAATGTCCTTCAACGTCCTTTGGGGTTGAGGTAGGGTTTAGGATTTTTGGCCTAGTGGTGAGGCCTGTGGGTGTAGGGTTTTAGGGCGTAGGGTTAGGCTTCAGGATCAAACCCGAGCAGAGCTCGGAACTTTTTCTAGTGTTTTTTGATGAGGGTTCGATGCTGCGTTATAAACCCTAAACCCTACAAGCCCTAAACCCTTGCTGGGGATTTTCTCGGAGTGGTTTCCGTGGTCTTCTAAGCGTCGTATCGCCGAGACCTCCGAAGCCGAAAGTCTGAAGCGCTTAACACCACATCCCAACAATCCAAAAGCCTTATAGGCTATAGTTATTGGGTCTAGGGCTTAAACCCTAAACCCTAAACCCTAAACCCTAAACCCTAGTGTAGAGTTTAGGGTGTAGGGTTTCGGATCTAGGGTCCATATAGAACCCGCGTAGAACCCAACAATCCAAAAGCCTTATATCTGTCTGGGGCTTAGTAGGGAATGGGGGGATAGGTTATAGGGACTACTGTAAGGGACCTTAAGGGGCTATCATGGGGATCCGTTTTCCCATTCCCTAGGGCTTCGGGTGTAGGGTTTAGGGTTTAGGGTTTAGGGTCCTTTTAGAACCCGTGTAGAACCGTTATGAAACCTCGTGAGGATGCTTCGCATCTTGCGTCTGCTGAAACTCGTGAAAGCTGTGCGGCCCCTGTCCGAAGCTCAGGGAGGATCTTTTTTGGGGTTTAGGGCTTAGGGTGTAGGGTTTAGGGTTTAGGGGTGTAGCCCCGGTATCCCTGAAGGAGGGGTTTTACGGGTTTAGGGTCGCTCTGGTACTTGGAGGGTCAGGGATGGTCCGGGGGACCTAGAAAGTAGTCTTCGTAAACTAGAGATATCAGCATTATAACTTCAGTTAGGATCCCTTTTCGGGTAGTTATAACTCTGCTTATTGCCTGCTTACTAAGCCCCCTGACCCTCCTGAAGGAGGATTGTCCAAGGGGACAAAAAGCCTATAGTAATCCCCCACTGCTCCCAAGAGCTCAGGGCACAGTTGGCGCCAAACGATGCATGGGGAGCGTTTCTTTCTTCATTGTTGGGGTTCATAATATAGTCTCAATATAAGATGATACAGTATCATTTGGTGAGGCTTTGATTTTGCGGCATCCTGCCCGAGATCAGTTGCATTTGACCAGTGCATTTGCTTTCCAGCCAGTTGGGCACCACTCATACGGAGTCTGCTGCTGCTGCTGCTGCTCCTGCTGCTGCTGCTGCTGCTGCTGCTGCTGCCAGAGGCTTCAAGAGCATGGCCATGGACATATCTTCTGGGATGGCCATACTTCGCATGGAGCCAACGAACGCCAGGATAAATGTAGAAGCCGAAATAACTACCAAGTTATTCCATTAGGGTTCCATATATTGTAACTATGCTATAAGGGAGCCCAAATCCCTATTCTAATGATTATAAGGCCCCTGTATTATGCGCGCCGAGATTTCTGAGCTTGAGAAGCAAGCGTAGTGAGGTTCCCTAAGGTTCCGGCAAGATACGCCCCCCCCCCCTTGAACTACCGTCCCGCACGCATCGTAGAATGTAGATTCATCGGGCTTGTTGGGTTTATCGGGCTTTCAGGGCCTCTAGGATTTGCCAGGACCCCATAAAACCTACCTTTTTAGGGATCCTTATTATGATTTCTTTGTATAAGTCCTTCAAAAGGTAGGTTGTTGTTGGGTTCAGGTATTGGCTGTATAGGGTTCAGGGCCATTCAGGGCTAGACGTGGTGACACGTACGGTTGCACTCGGGACCAAGGAGGCCCTTCTTGATGTGTACATCGCAGCCGGAAGTTGCAGGGCCCAAGCTTCCCGCAAGGTACCCTAGCCGCCCTCGCCATTTTGGCTCCAGCCTCTGGCCGGAGCTGCCTGGAGCCTCTCCTTGTCGTGCCGACGCTTGGGCTCCACCAAAGCAAGGATTCGTGGAGACCAGCCTGGCAATGTTTCCCAGGACCCCGCAGCTCGACGGCTCTGATGGCGCTCGGTCGTGTGATGAGCCTGGCGGCGAGTCTCGCCATGTGGCCATTGTGGCAGATGCAAGCGTGCGATTTCGAGGGCCAATTTCTTGCGGCAGTGAAGGTGAACGTTTGCACCTTCACTGCCGCAAGAACCGGGCCTCGAAATCGTGCGCTGGCATCTGCCACAATGGCCGCCTGGCCTCGATGCCGTGACTTCTGCTCTCTGCCATCGCTCGAGGTGATGGAG